TATTTCTAGAATTTCTATTTGTTTTTTTCAGATCTATGTGATCATTCTTTGTATTCTCTTAATCCCACACATATTTTTTTTTTTAAGATATTAAAGTTAGGCACTTGAAGTCTGTATCTGTTAATTTGTGCTTTTGTTTTCATTGTCTGTTGCTCTTGGTCATGGTGCCTTATTTCATGGTGTGTTTGGTTAATTTCGGTTGTGAAGCTGCTCATTCATTTTCTTGGATATTTATCTGTGAAGATTTATTGAGGCCTAAAATGAAGCTTATTCTTCCAGAGAGGATTTGTATTTGCTTTTACCAGGTGCTCAGGGGCACCAGACCAGTTTGGGATATCCTTAAATTAAATTCTCAGCCTGGGTGTTTTGAATCCTTGTGGTATTCAAGCTGAAACAAGTAAGTGTGAAGTCTGGCTTGTAGTCCAAATTCTCAGCAGTGGAATCTACTCAGCACCAACGTGCAGGGCAGACTGTTTGCCATCATCTATGGTGAGTGTGTTTGTGTGTTTATTTCTAGTTCATTTTGGTCTGGTGTCTCAGCTTCACTGGGAAAGAGTTCTTATCATGCTCCCCACCATGGCCAGGCGTCACATAACACCCTAAAAAACAAAGCGCAGGTTTGGGTGAAGTCAGCTGTGGTGCTTGGGGTTTCACGTGGGCCAAGCCCCTGGGACCGAGAGTTCCTTAGTTTTGTGGTGGCTCTTCCTTGCTTTTATAAATTAAAAAAAATATTATTCTGGATTTTAATCGTTCATCCAAGTACCCAGCTTGCCATATTATGGAAAATCTATCCCCATAATCCATGAATCCCTGTTTCTTTGGGAGATCGTGAGAACCCTAGAGTTTCTAAATTCATTCCTCCCTCAGCCAACAATACCCTCCACCTAAATTTTTCATCTCAACCAGCACTTCATTCCCAGCCCAGCCTCATCTACCTGGTAATTTTCTCGGTGACCTCTGACCATTGATTCCTCTCCTCCCGGCCACTCCCTCCCAGCCCCTCTGGACCTCTTTTCAGAGATTTATCTTCCCGACAGAATCTATTCCTCAGCAGTGAAAACCTTTACCCCTATCCTACCGGCCAGAAAAGGCTTTCCTTCTCATTCTACTTCCTCTCCGTCCTTGACGCTCTGGGACCTCCGGTAAAGCGGAGAGGGTGCTGAAAAGGGGGCCTCAGGCCTTAATCAGGCGCCTTAACTGATTGAGCACTGTGCTTCCCTCTTGTGACCCAGAGGACTTTAAAGCTGAATGCTGCCCCCAAAGGACTATAAATTAAATATGACTTTCTGGGAAAGAAGATACAGTAGCTGACAGGGTTTGAAGGCTTCCCTTTCCCTTTCCTCGGTGCCTAGGCTCCTCCTCTCCCTCCCCCACCCGCTGCTCAGAGCTTCAAGCAGAAACTGCACCAATTACAAAGCAAGAAAACCAGAAAAACCTGTGTAACATTTCAGTGAAAACTCCCATTTCCTTCAGCATTTTCCCCAGAAATACATGTCTATATGTTTGTTTGTTTTTTAAAAAGGGAAAGAAATGGAAAAGCTCCGAGCAGAATGAAGTCAGAGCATGCGCCTTCGTGCTCTGGGTAAGGGGTCATCGCCAAATTCCGGATCAACCTTAGGATCAACTTGGAGACCTACACACGAAGAGGAAAGCTGCACACTTGAAATGGCATTTTCAGTGCAAATTGGTATCTGGTTATGTGGTATCATGGCTCTATGGAAGTGTACTTGCCCATAGTGAGCGCGCAATTAACGGCACATATTGTTATTTTCTAAGTTCCTCATAAGTATTTTCTACGCGGCTGTATTAGTTAAAGAACAGTAGTGAAGCTTTAAATTTGGCAGGAGACATCCGGAAATAGCCTTTGGAATGAAAGGATTACAACTCATCTGCTGAAAGCATGCGTGGCTCTTAAAAGAGCCTTTGGGGTTAGGTGTAAAGACGCTTACTTGGCAAGTTTACTTGGAGCTGGTGTACTTGGTGACAGCCTTGGTGCCCTCAGACACGGCGTGCTTGGCCAGCTCCCCGGGCAGCAGCAGGCGCACGGCCGTCTGGATCTCTCTGGAAGTGATGGTCGAGCGCTTGTTATAATGCGCCAGGCGCGACGCCTCGCCCGCAATGCGCTCGAAGATGTCGTTGACGAACGAGTTCATGATGCCCATAGCCTTGGACGAGATGCCGGTGTCCGGGTGGACCTGCTTCAGCACCTTATACACGTACACAGAGTAACTCTCCTTGCGACTGCGCTTGCGCTTCTTGCCATCCTTCTTCTGCGCCTTGGTCACCGCCTTCTTGGAGCCCTTCTTCGGGGCCGGAGCGGACTTGGTGGGTTCAGGCATTGTAGCGTTAAAAATTCGAACACTAATGCTAACACCTGGGAAAAGAGGCGCCCCCGCTGAGGCCACATTTACTTATAGATGCGGTATTCAAATTAGGTTAGTAAGATTTCGCTCATGATTGGATTAATTTTATTGTGGCGTCACAAACAGGAATGTAAATGATACTAGCAGGTCTACCTTTTCATTGGCTGTTTAGTTAGTGTGCTTTGACCCAATCAGACGGGCCTAGACTAGACTACCCATAGCTAGTACAAATAGCCTTTTGAAGCACCTGCACGGTGTATTTCACAGCAAGCAGATGAAAGGAAATGACAACACGCTCGCTTTAAGTTAGTAACTGAAAGCAACTTCTCTTTTCCTTTGTATAACTTCGTGCATTGGTTCGGGCCCCGCAACTAGTCACCGTGTTAATGTCCAGCTAGAGCTGGTGGACAAGCTCGTAAACGCATTACCCCGCGCCCTGGGCAGCTAACCAGTAAGTAACCACTACCTGCACATAACGTGCTGGGCTGGGTCACCCTCTTAAAAGTTCACAATTCTTAACCTCTTCGTCCCCTATCAGAAGTCGTGATAATTTTTGTTACTTATTAACCATAATGCTTAAAATACTTGGGAGTATTTTTCCCGCAAACGTGCCAGTTTTGCCTGTCGGCATGCCCTTGTTAAGCAAAGAAAATGTAAGTGGCTCATTAAATGATAAACCATCTTTCGTGCAATGGGGTAAACATTTAAATTTCACTTTAGTGGTCTCCAGACACCTACACAACGTAGTGCCTGATACAGTGGGGGGAGACTTCCTGCCCCTGAGTTTGTGCTCTCCCTTACCGCGCCCTTTGGGGCGAAGTGGGGACTAACTTTCAACCAGCGGTCTCCACCCTCCGCACACTGGAGTGTAAAACAAGCTTACGCTCAGGCCTGTTCCCTGGCCAGTCTAACCGCACTCTTACCAATTTCCTCAAGGGGCTGTCACGTACTACAGCTGAGGCCATCAAGACACACCCCGGGGAAGGCCGCCCCTCACTTGCAGCCTTTCACTCCTAACCACGCCCCCTTAAAACGTGCCAACAGCTCTTTTCCTGATATCTTTGGGTGGCTCTGAAAAGAGCCTTTGGGTTGTGTCGAGCTTCTAAGCCTTAGGCCAAAGAAACTTCCTATTTCTTCTTGGCTGCCGCCTTCTTTGGCTTGGCTGCCTTAGGTTTGGCGGTCTTTGGTTTAGCCGCCTTGGGCTTCACCGCCTTAGCTTTCGCTGGGCTCTTGGGCGCCTTCTTCGGCTTGGCTGCTTTCGCTTTTTTCGGACTCTTAGCTTTTTTGGCTCCTGCAGCCGCGACAGGCTTCTTCGCCTTCTTTGGGGTCTTCTTGGCGCTCTTCTTGGGGGTGGCCGCCCCCGTCGCCTTCTTGGGCTTCTTAGCCCCTCCTGCGGGCTTCTTGGGCTTGGCCGCGCCCGCCTTCTTGGCTTTGGGCTTAGCCTCCCCGGTAGCCGCCTTCCTGTTCAGCTTGAAAGAACCCGAGGCGCCGGTGCCCTTGGTCTGTACCAGAGTGCCCTTGCTCACCAAGCTCTTGAGACCCAGCTTGATCCGACTGTTATTCTTCTCTACATCGTAGCCCGCGGCCGCCAGCGCCTTCTTGAGCGCAGCCAGAGACACGCCGCTGCGCTCCTTGGAGGCGGCGACAGCCTTGGTGATGAGCTCGGACACCGGGGGCCCAGACGCTTTGCGCTTTGCGGCACCTGCAGCCTTACGGGCCTTCTTTTTCACCGGCGTCTTCTCGGCAGGGGCCGGTGCAGCAGGCGCGGCGGGCGCAGTCTCGGACATGTTGAAGGCGATTGTTGGGAAAGCAATTCGAGCCGGAAGCAGAGGCACTGGCCGGGACTCGGGCCGCGCCGCTGCGCCCGCCCGTTTATATAGGGCGGAGCTGCGCCGTGATTGGTGCGCTGTCCAGCCCGCCTCGCTGGCAGCCTCAGAGTGTCCTCTCGGATCCCGAGTTGTGTTTGTTACACCTCAAAAAATGCCAAAAATATCAAAATTCTCTGCACTGAATTGCCCGATTTTTCCCAGAAAATGATCCCCGAAGTCTCAGGCTTCACTCAGGTCTCAAATTATGAGGAAAGCACAAAACCTTATGCCAAAACCCAGCAATATTTCCCGCCGTGCTTGTCAAATTTCAACTCAGAGAAACAAAACTTTCTATTTTCTTCGTAAATTATAAACCGATCTTTAACTGTGGAGTTTTCTGACCTCTCAAATATGATTCTCCAAGTGGTTAGGTTCTTATAGGTCCAAAAAGCATGTAACTGGCATTAGGATTTTTATTACAAATCTGCACTTAAGTGAGGGAAGTAACACAGGCTCCTCTGAGAGTCCTGTCTATTGAGCCGAGGGCATTTGAGTTCATCAAACTGGTTTAGTTTAATGCTAAACAAATTATTGCCCATATGAGGTTAAATGTTGGACCCCTGGGACATCAACGTATGCAGCCATGGTTTTATTTCTTTCTGTTGCGTCTGGGTTTTTAAACAATTCCTTAGGATAATTCTTTTCCTGTCTGCTCCCAGGGGTTGGGGGAGGGGCGGTTGCTTCTCCTCCTCTGGACAACTGCTCCATGAGTTTAGATACCTTGAATTCAGGATATTTGGGAAGGAAAGGGAGTCCAAAACACAGGATACACAGATGGAAAAGGATTAATTTTCAAATAACACGCAGATGTTTTCTATGAAGTCACTGGAAGCGGAGGCGCACTTCGAAGAATTTGTTTGCAGTCTTGGTGAGTTCTTTTGGCATATGCTTCAGGATCAAATAGAAATATACTCTTTAGAATTGGAATTCAAGCGTTGATCATAAGGGGAACTAAATGGAAACTGTAGATTGTAACATATCTATTCCCTTTACTGGAGAAACCCAGATCCTGTTATCACCGAATAACTGATGAATGACTAGTCCACACAGCAAATATGGCTTCACTCATGAAGATTATGGTCCTATGCTTCCCGGAGCTCCATCAAAAAGAAAATAAGTTCCGTGTAGGATCGAATGACAAGTTCAGATTTCCAGCTCGGAAGCAGAGCTTTGAGGGACCATCCATGTTAAGTTTTTGTCCTCTGAAGACACCCTTTGCAAGGTCTTTGAAAAAGTGGTTTTATTTAGGTAGTACATATTGGCAATCACCAAAGAGTACACGTTGGCCATGAAAACCCAACTAAAGGAATTATTCCTGGAAAATGATCTGGACGGAATTGTCTTTAAAAACTGAAAGCCATGTACTTGAAAGACTTGAAATTTTGGCCAGTGCTATAAGGTGATAGGATACAATTCTGTGGGTGTAGCTGGGTGTAACATGGCATTTGACATCACATTAATTTTTAGTTCCATTCCCCCAATTTTCTTCACACACAACAGACTCTACTACTGAAATAAAAGAATACAGATCTTTGATTCAACATTAAGGAAATGTCTCAAAAGAGTCTTGTTTAAATTAACGCTGAATCTGGTATAAAAGACATATAAATTATCAATATTTTTAAAGCCTTAATATGTAAACATTTTCAATGTAATTTGTGCATGCTAGTGAAAAATAAATATGCGCTTTGTCATATATTAAAATAAAAAGGGAGGGGATTAGGCTCCAAAACAGACCAATTGATGGTTACTACAGAAATTGATTTTATGGGCACTTTAATCCCAGGGCAGTGGGGTTATGCTCATTTGCAATGACAAACAAAACCACTCCCCTACGTAGTTGAAATTTGCAGAGCACACTAGAATTTTCTCTCAAATACCTCCCTTTTTTCTATGTATCCCTAACGACTTCTGATTTGGAGGTACTTAAATTCTTCAAATTCTGGGATCTTTTAACTCATCTATGCTCATCTCCTGTGTTGCAGTGTGTTTTCTATAAATAAAACTATTTGACAGACTTAAAGAAGACGTAAAGGATCTGCCACTGTTACATCAAGCATTTATTTGAAATAGAAGTAACACTAAAGGCTCTATTTTCCTATTGATCTGTCAGTTATATCAGAACTACCTAGGGTGTTTGTATGTGTGTGTGTGTATATGTGTGTGTTGTACCTGTGCTTTAAATATAGATTCCAAAGTCTTGCCCCAGATAATTCTGAATTCTCCCAAGAAGACTGCTGGTAAGAGGTGCATCCAGGATTCCAGCTCACATCTGTTTGACTTCAAAGCATTTGCTCAGTGTTTTTCAGGCTGCAGGTCTGAACAATCATTAAAGGTTGCAAAATCAATTTTGTAGCACAAGGCCAAAATGTTTCCTTTTTAATGAACTAGAATAGAATACAAAGTATCAGAGCCCAAAGCAGGTAGTTTCAGTTTTCTGCATAGCTTTTTGATTGTGTGCTGGGTGCCACCGTGTAAAATGTATTTCTTACAGTACAATCTCATATGGCCAGAGTGGGAGGAGTCTTCCTCATGCATTTCTTGAACTTTTATAGCCATGAAATATTCTCAAGTGTGTTAGTCGCTAATGATCTACAAAAAGTAATTTCCTATTATTGGCGTTTTTAAGCCTCTAAGAAACCCCAAGTCATAAAAAATGGGGAGCACTCTGCAAACATTTCCATTTTGAACACGATAGCAACTGTGCTAAGAGTAATGATGAGATTTGTGGAAAAGCTGAAAGGAAAGTGAGGCTTATACTTGGTTCCTTTTACTCCAAAATTCTGGGCTCCAGAATCAAGCAATTGATTCTGGACTTTTCTATTTCAGTAGAAAAGTCAAGACAGAGTTTGGGGAAGAGGCGCTTTTTTGCTAAACAAATTAACCCTTCTCCATCTTCCTCATAGCAGGCGTGTTGTATGATCGCAGCCATGGTGACGCTATGAAGACCACCTGTAGATCTCTATCTGTTGGGACAGCCTCCCCTTTGTAGACTCTTTTAAGAGGCACTCTATCTTGGCTTTTGGTGTAGAGCATTTCTGGAAAACTTCTTAAAATGGGCTATATATTATTTCAGAAATTGTTATTATTTTTATTTAATTCAACAAATAAAGCTGGGGCATGGTGCATACTCAGGGTTATTCATTGCAGCACTCTTTGGAACTGTAAAATATTGGAGCAAACTTTAATATCCATGTATAAAAGCGATCGAATAAACTAGAACACATATGTACAATTGGGTAATATATAGCTACAAAAATGAATGAGGAAGATCTCTATGAGTTATTAAGGAATGAATTCCAGGATAGATGGTTAAGTGAAAAAGCCAAGTGCAGAAGAGTACCTATAGTATGATACCCTCTGTAAGAGAAAGATGAAGATATAAGAAAATACATTTTTTTCTCATTTGTGCAAAAGATACACAGGAAGAATAAACCAAAAATGAAAGGGATTTGTTATCTATGGGGGTGGGGATTAGAAAGGAATGGAAAGAAGGAAGGAATGGGAACAGAGTTGCAGGGATGAGAAGGGAGTGACAGTTTTCTGAGTATGTCTTTTTGTATAACTCTGACTCTTAAAACTATAGTAATGCTTCATATACCAGCAAAATAGTCACACTATTAAAAGCAGTAGAGATGGGGGAACTCAGAATGGAATACAAGCACTAACAAATTAACCAAACTATATTAACTTACAGTTATTACATAATAACACTAAAGGGATTGGGGAAGATAAAAATTAACTTAAGTAACTGTAGAAAACAGTATCTTGATTGGATACTATAAGGCTAAAGACAAAAGCAACTACACATAAAGGTTGCAATCTAATAAAAGTGTTTTTCTCAGGGTTATGGGTTAACAATTCTGAAACTACTTATGTGTTTAGAATTGAACAAAGGAGTAAACACGGTGTAGAAAATGAGATCCAGTGTTCTCATTAGTGCAAAAAGAAGTATTTGGCGAAAATGAAACTTGTGCTGGATTAGAAACAGAAGTATTAATATAAACTCATATTTTAAAATACATCTCCAGTTTAATAGATATAGACACCTAGAAGTGTGTGTATGTGATTGGGTTAACATACAAATATACTTCCTTGCTCTGTCAGTGGAGCGGACCTAAAAGCAGTGACACCCTAGTAGCAATTAGCACACCTGGAAGACAGTCTTTGGTTTTTAAGCATCATTCTCTAATCAAAGGAACCAGGACCACCTGGAGAAGTGATTGGCTCCAAGGCTGGAGCAGGGATAATACAGGGTGAGCCTGGAACATCTTGTGGTGCCAGAAAAGGAAGATGCTTAAAATAAAATGAAAATTTGTTGAAACACCATGCAAGCCACTCTCAAGGAGCTACTAATTGCTAAAGCTGGTACCATTTGAGCAACAAAATAAAAATTGATAATACTGGATTTTAACTCATAGATAAAATATATATCCGTAAATAAATACATACATACATAAGGAAAATGGACAACTTTCCCTTGTTGCAGATGAAATCCACAGGTGGATACTAAAATCACTGAGTGAAATTTGAAGGACAATCAGGATTTGCATAGTCTCAAAGTATCTTCCCCAAGATATCTATCTACTACAAAGAGAAAGGTAATGAATTTACAGTGGAGAAACCCAGACACCACCTTAACTAAGTGAGCAGGGTAAACCCCACAAATAGTAAGACATATCAACATCATGAACTCCTTGCACTGAGAAGGATAATTCATCGTTTTTGTGCTATTTCCTGGCAAAATGCATAAACTCATTCCAGGGATGAGAAAACATCAGACAAATTCCACCCAAGGAACATTTAAAAAAATAACTGATCAATACTCCAAAAATGTGAAGGCCATGAAAGGAAAGACAGACTAAGAAATTGTTACAGACTGGAGGAGACTAAGGAAAAGCATTAAGTAAAATCAATGTGCGATCCTGAATAAGATCCTGGAAAAGAAAAAGGACTTGGTGGAAAAGTTTGTGA